TCAAATTAATTATTCCTAGTAAAAAGAAATTTTGAAATATGACCTTTTGAAATAACAGAACCTTTCTCCTCACATGTGGTTTGGTGAAAAATATTCCGCGGACCAAAAATTCAAGGAAATTATAGAAACTTCGCTTAACACCCTCTCGACATTATAAGGTCAACCCATCTATATTCCAATTAATGAGCACTTTATTGAATTTAGCAACCTAACACATGCAGATAATTTCATGATACTAGCTATGAAGTCTATTATCTGTATATATACCCCCCACATCCAGGTGCACTGTTCTCCATTTACAACAAATTCAGCTTAATTCTAGCCGGCCTAAATATCTTTGCAATCCTTTCGTATGATATTAAATTAGGTCTACTACATTATAAAATATTATATTATATTATATTACATTATATATCAGTTTTAACTTTGTGCAATACACTGATGATAATTTTATTTTTTTATATTATTAATTCATTTAATATAAATATTTACGTAAATTTTAAAACAAGAAGGTGTCATTTTAACTTTGAGAGTTTTAAATATAATTTTTTTTAAAGATCTAAATATGGTTTATTTATTGCTTAATAAAAACTATATTTTACATATTGAGCAATAGACGGAATAAATAATTAGATTTTTATTATTAAAATTATTAATATTTCTAGTTTCACTCATGTTGTCACATATTTCACATTAGTAAGAAATGTAGTAGATCTTAGATCTATAAACATGAGTCTTCTTCCATCTATTAGATATGTCTTTTGAGTTAAGAACGTGGGCTCATGATTTATAAAGTTACTTAAATTTCATTTTCAGAATTTAAGGTCGTAAGTAGTTAGGCTTAAATTTCGACCCGTAACATTTGGTATTGTAGAAAACTCGAATTTTCATTGATATGAAGCCCCCATGAGAGATATAAGAGTCGAGATACACCTAGACTAGTGTAAGAGTCATTTTCCTCTATGGATAAAAAACCAATGCACATAATTCCTCCCTCCAAAACTATATGAGGCTTCGCCCTGATCACATCTGTTTTTATTTTATAATAATGCTAATCAACAGTATCCGATATTACTTAAGAAAAAAAAATGTGTGATATTGTCTACGAGTAAACTCAAAAAAAGAATATTCCTAATATTTGATTATTTACTACAACAAGTTATGTCATTTCATCTACTTGAATAATTAATACTATCACACAAATTAGCTGTATTTAATATTTTAATGTGAATTTACTTACTTTTTATATAATTTCAACTTTTTCTACATAATATCTTATGATTTTTTAGATTAATATCCTATGCTTAAAATTTATTCTATAAGAGATTATAGTGTTAATTTTACCAAATGAAATTACAAAATATTTTAAATATGAATTACTAATATTAACTTTATAATTGAAAATATTTAATAATTTTATTAAATAATTAGTTAGTGCATGATCCTCATACTTAAAGAACAAGATTCGAATTCCCTTTTCTCTAAATTCAAAAAAAAAATTCATAAGATACTAAGTGAAAAAAAAAATCACAAACTATTATAAGAGAAAACTTGAAATCATAAAAGATATAATTGAATTTTTCATATTTTAAACATAGTAGGAGATCTGTTTCTTTTTATTGCAGCCTTAATCAACTTATCAGTGCATATCTCCAGTAGCCCAAAGAGACAACCGTCGGTATCCGTGAGATAAAATTAGTCTGTCACCCTCCCTCCAACAAAAAAAATAAAGCCAATCAAATTTTGAAAAGCAAAGAGAAAGCAAAGGTTTCTGCCTTAAAAAATAATGCATAAAACCGCGTCTTTGATCGTCTTTCTCACAAGTATTAATTGTAAGTATCTAAACCATTACACGCATGCATGATTTCAATAATTAAAACAATAATAAAATATTTTAAAAAAATTTTAAATTTTTGAACAAAATTTATGTAAGTTTTTATTTAATTAATTTTTTATATTTTTATTTTAAATCAAATAAATATTTATAATTAATGGTTGACTAATTGTAATTAATTAAAATGTCATTATGTCATATGGCACTGCATATTGATATGTCATAATGAATTATGATGTGGTATGTTAATATGAAATAATGATGATGATGATGTGACATTTTTCGCCATTCATATAGCATCATATGGGTTCGTAATGAAAAGTGATATTTTCACTAGTTATAATTAAAGTGAACAGTTAATTATAAAAACTTATTTGTTTTAAAATAAAAATACAAAAGCTTGATAAAACACAATAAAAAACAGCTTATTTAAATTTTTAAATAATTCATGAGTTTTTCAAACATTATGTCTAAGATAAAAGAGTTGACTCATACCAATAATAGACATTTGCTTTGCCAATACATTCATAGATTCTTAACCCTTAGATTATCTATTTTAACAAGATTGCATTTGCTTTATGATCATTGCTACTATTTGTGCTTACTCTTTAAGAATATTTTTTCCGCTATTTGAAATTTCTTTCTAATTAAAATTAAAAACAATCAATCTTGATCATTTAAATAAAAAATACATACATTTATGATAAAAGAAATATTGAATTGATTGATTATTTAGAATTTTTTTATTTTCAATTCTTTGCAGAACTTTTATAAAAACCTTTATGTATTTGGTTTGAGAGGTTCTATTTAATGGATTAATATAATACCAAAAATAGTTATACCTTTTGAATGCCCTTCTCTTGATTATGTTAAGAATCCCATGTAATTAATAATCTTTAACTATTTTTAGTAATCATCACTCAATTTTTTACTATTTTATTCTTGCACACTCACATAAAAAAATTGCATAAATGAATGAAAGAAAAAGAAATTAATATAGAAAAAAACATAACGAAGTTGCAGAAAAGTTGTATGGAATGAAAGAGTCAAATAATGTGTAAGTTGAAGATAAAAAAATTGTGGAGTAAAAATCCCGATGTGCTTTTTTTAATGGAAACAAAAAAGAGCACCAATGAGATGGGAAGGGTAAGAGTAGTGACGGGTTTTGATAGCTGTTTAGCAATTGATTTGATTGGGAGAGCTAGCAGCTTAGCTCTTTTTGGAGAGAAAGTGTAATGTTGGATGTTAGACCTACTCAACGAACCATGTTGAAGCTGAGATTGAGACTAGGGGTACTAGGTGGCATTTAACAGGTTTTTATGAACACCTAAAGTGACAGATAAGTAGGATACACGGAACTTGATGTTATTGTCCAAATCAAGATTATTGTTACCATGAATGTGTTTTGGAGATCTCAATGAAAAAATTTTTCAACATGAGAAAAAAGGTGAAGTTGATGGATGTAAAGCCTGTATGAAAAATTTAGAGATAAATGTGAAAGTTCTTTTCCTTTTTGAATAAGTAAAGATTTTCATTGATCTTTCCTCCCAGTTTCTTTGATTCTATAGAGCATTTGCCAATTCATTTACCTTATGAGGTAGAAGTTGGTGGACCTGTCCAGTATCAATAGATGTATCCATTTGAAAGGTATTATAGCTGTTATTTATTTTCTAACAGTATATTAGAAGAGTTTTAGCCACTTATTAAGTATCATGAATATTATGATGTTTAGGTTTTTGCATGATTTGAAGAAGAAAGTGAAAAATCACGCATTTGTTGAAGGATCTATATGCGAGGCATATATGATCGAGGAAATCTCCTCATTTTGCTCATTGTATTTTGAGCCGATGGTGCGAACAAGATTAAATCGAGTGCCACGTAATGGTGATGGGGGAGACATGGACTCTTGTGGGTGTTTTTCGATTTTCACTCATCCTGGCAGAGCATTTGGTCCACTAGATAAATCTTGAATTTTAAATGAGGATGAGTTTTATGCTGCCAAGCTATATGTTTTAATGAATTGCGAAGTAATGCTCCCATACATTAAGTAAGTACTACTCCGTCATAAACTTAAATGATTGATCATATGAATGAACTTAATTTCTAAAATATGGATATGATTATAAGATATTTCATGATATAATGTGAAGAAATGTGCATATATCGAAAGATGAATTGGAGAAAGTTCGTGATGAAAGTTTCATGAAATGGTTTAAACAATATGTAAGTTTATGTAAAGTAGATGTGATCTTTTAATAACAAATATGCATTACTTATGTAAGTTAACCATTCTGGATCTTGTATTACATGTTGGTAGGTTGTCGAACGTAGGGATGAAATTGACCCATGCATACTTGAAATCTCTCATAGTCCAGGCCGTATGACAAGGTGTTACAAAGGATACTTTGTAAATGATTTTAAATTTCACACCCTAGAATATGGGCAAAATTGTAAGACAATAATAGTGGGGTATGCATAAAAGGGAGTTGTTACAATGATTATGAGTGTGACTTCTATAGTATTTTGGTGGATATAATTGAGTTGGAGTATTTTGGTTTCGGAAACAAACTTGTGCTATTTTAGTGTCATTGGTTTGACACTGAAAAAGGTATTAGGGTAGACCCTTGTCATGGTCTTGTTGAAATTAAACACAACTCAATTAATAAAGATGAATTTCTTGAGACAAAAGTGAATTTTCATTAAAATGATGTTACTTTTGTTCGATTTTGCACTGTTCAACTACTCAAATAGTACGAGATTATAAATAATTATTTTACGAGTGTTTATTTTCTGTGAGTCATTGGACACTCTATTATTTCTGTTCGACTAGTCACTTTAATACGTTGATGAGGCAGGTTCGAAGGACAGCGAGATGAGATGCGTACACTTTGTGACCAAATGAGAAAATTTTGACCATTCCAATATTCTAAGATTATTCTAAGGACTAATCAGCACTAATTACATCCTTTCTCACTTCCACACAAGCGCGTGGAAATTTCCAAGGAAAGGCCAATTTGCCACTCGCTTTCCCATTTTACTCGTTTCTCTCTCTCTTGACTAACTTCCATGAATAATCAAGTAAGTCTCAAGAGCCGCTCCCTCCTCCACTCTCTTCTTATATTTATAAATAGATGTCAGAGAGTCACCATTGTTTTGAGCAAATCATTCTCAAGGCAAATATACTTATATATTTGATTTACAGAGGGAGAAAAAAGAATTGAAAATGGAGGATATGCCGCCTGGTTTTCGGTTCTACCCAACTGAAGAAGAGTTGATTTCGTTTTATCTCCATCACAAGCTAGAAAGTGAGAGGCAGGATTTGAATCGTCTTATGGATCGGGTTATACCAATTGTCAACATTTATGAGTTCAATCCTTGGGATCTTCCACGTAATTAACAATCTCCTAGCTAGATTGCATTTAAGCTCGAATAACCTAAAGCTACTACTCTTAGCTTGCTACAATTTGTTTCATCTTTTTACTTTCTTGTATATATATTCTCTTTTAGTATAAAGTTCAATATCATTTTTTTCAGCTTGGAGGTTCCTTTTATTTTCGAAGAAATAGATTTTTGTTGTTCAACTTTACTCAGTCGACATCCACCAAGGCCGAATGTGGTAGGGTTTCTGGAAAAAGAAAAAAGAAAAGGATTTACATGAAAGAATTAGTTTGGAAAGATTCCTGATTTTCATTATTTCTTAATCTGTTATTCTTGGCACTGAAGTCCGTAGCTTGAGTTAAAAGAGGGAAACAATTAGAGAAGAAAATAAGAAACAGCAGATATAACAAGTCAAGATCAAAAGGGTATCATTTTCTGTCCTTGTCCCCTCATTTGATTATGAATTTTCCTTGATGCAGAATTGTCGTTGTACCTATGCCACAAGGACCCTGAACAATGGTTCTTTTTCATTCCATGGCAAGAGAGTGAAGCACGGGGAGGAAGACCAAAGCGGCTAACAACAACAGGGTACTGGAAAGCTACTGGCTCTCCGGGTTGTGTTTATTCTTCCACCAATCGCCCTATCGGCGTAAAAAGAACCATGGTTTTCTACAATGGAAGAGCTCCGAACGGAAGAAAAACTGAGTGGAAAATGAATGAATACAAAGCCATCGTAGAAGCAGCAGCTTCATCTAATGGTGCAACTCCAACTGTAAGAAAGCATGTTATTCTACCATTCTTGTTCCTCTTTTTCTTTCTTTTGTTGAACAAGTGCTAAATCTTATGTAATTTTCCCCATTTTTACTTACAGCTGAGGCACGAATTCAGCTTGTGCCGGGTATATAAGAAATCGAAATGCTTACGGTCATTTGACAGGCGACCACCAGCAGGAGGAGCTCAGATACGCGACCCAGCAGCTGATAATCAAGGTCAAGCTGCTGTTGGAGCAGCAGCAGCATGTCATCAGAGCCCTCAAATGGCAGAGAGAACCATCAGCTCACCAGAGAGTTCATCCTCAGGCGATCATGGGAATCCTTCTCAAACTGGGGAAAGCAGCAACTCATCAGCAATGGTAGTTGATTATAATGATCCTTTCTGGGATCTTCTTGATGGCTTCTAGGATTCCACGAAGTAAAGAGAGAGACTTTTGAAGCTCAAGCTCAAGCACTACTCTCCAAGCTGACTTTGCATGGGTGGCGCAAACCAAAATGAAAATTAACTTGGAGAGTAGTGCTTTCTCTCTCTCTCTCTCTCTCTTTTCCAGTATTTGTCTTCATCTTTTTCCTCTAAATCAATAAAAGAGAAGGGAAGACAAGTTGAAGTTTCAGAAATAGCTTAAAATATTATTGAATTTAGGAAGGAGAAGTAGCAGAAATAGGGAAAGAAAACTTCAATTTTAGTGTGCATACTTTTTTTGGCTATATCTGATTTTCATTTGCCATAAAAAAAGATTAAATAATCCTACAAATAAAATAAAGATAATGCATCATTCATTTATTCTTTTTACAACTCTTCCATGTCTCCCAGCAAATGATCTAGATAAAGGGGAGTGGAAAGGACTGGAAAATGGAAAGATGCAAATCTCTCCATTTTTTCATTATTTTCTGATGTTCTCCCCTTATATGTTGCCAATCAAACGAAAGGAATATATTTTTCACCTCTTTTTTCTTTCAGTCCTCTGCCTAGGACATAATCAAAGACAGATAGTATTGATTATGCGTGCCGACGTAAAAGAAATCATGCTTTTCAGCATTTATTTTTTGTTCATCCACCCAAATTTATTTCTGCCTTCTAAACATGTGCCATATTTATTGATATATATATATATATATATATATATATAAAATGTATGGGTTTTTTTTTTCCATGATTTGAATTGCTTACATGTGGATGAAATCAATATGGATTCAAACAGTCTAATATATATTTCATTCTGAGAGTGATTAGTATTATAACAGAATGCCAACATTTGGCCTTAGAAACATATTTTTAAGATTAGGGAAAAAAAGAAGAAAAAAGTAGAGAGAGAATGTCTGAACTATTTATGTGTGATGCTTATGAAAATTCTTCATAGTATATACAAGCATTTAAGAACCAGAACTTGAAGTTTTAATCATAGTAATTGTATTTTAACTCTTCTTTTCAATTAATGATGACAACAAGGGACTATCAGTGCCCAAAAGAACAGAGAGATTAAGGGACTATAAAATCAATAACTGATGTTTATTCAGTAATAATTAGTTCTGATTAAACTTTTTGAGACAACATCCTTAAAAAATGGATTGATATAAAAATTGAGGAAAAAGAAATAAAGTAAAAGCCAAAAGAAAATTAATGGTCCAAGTTACTAATATCTTCTAAACCGACCTTCTTATTGAGCATAGGGTCGAGAATTCAAGACATTACAGTGGAAAAATCACATCAGTGTATTAAATAAGGAAATCATTGAGAAGATCGAGAGAGGGTCTCTCACATTCATTATTAATTCCAATTAATTGCGCAAGTAAACTTCTTTCTACTTTTTATGTTTCGACAGTCATGTAGTCATTGCAAAGTAAATTTCGATGCTATTTCTTAACTCTCAATAGTCAAGAAGCCATCATAAGGAAACCGAATAAGTCGGAACTTTAAAGGGGCATACATTCTAGTTTCTACGCATTTTCGTGGCGTCTTTGTGCATCCCACAGTTACTCGAATAGCTAGGAATTGGATTCAATCAACCAATCGGACAAGTTTTGGTACATCCAGCCTTTAACTTAATTAATTTGAAGGTCATATATGCTAAATTATCCAAAATTTGAAGAGGAAAAACAGAAATAATGATTGAGTGTGACAAACCTTAGGAACAGATTTAGATTTTGTGCATCTCATTGTGATTCATATGACCTTTATCATTTATGGCCTTTATTTTGTGCAACTTATTTTTTTGTAAGGATGCATTTCATGTTCATGGCAATTGACATGTAAGTAATAATTTATGATTGCAACTCCTACAACTTTTGGTAGAAGGCAAACCAACTAACACTTCCTCTTCAATGACAGACTCGTCTTTGCCTCTTATAATCTTGAAGTAAGCCTCCTGTAATTCAAAAACATATGAAAATTGATATTTAAGCAAACTCTAAAAGACTGTTTTTGCCAAATGAAATCGGATATGCTTGAAATTTGTAGTTCATTTGTTAACATAAATGGTTTCATCTTACTTTCTTTTTCTTGCATGTTGATTTTTTTTTTCTCAAACAAAGTTCATTATATAAATTAAATGATTATAAAAAAACCTCACTGTTCAAATCGTTGAATTGGTACAAAACATATTAACCTGAAACAAAGAATAGGGGACAACACGTCCCTCCAAAAATAATCACAGGAGCAGTAATTATAGGATATACATGTGAAAGCCAGCCCTAGACAAAGGAACAAAACATACTGCAGCTCCTTTCCCAATGGAACACAATCAGCAGCTCACTCTCCTTAGAGGAATGGCTCTCTAGGCCTTGGGTGCTTCGAAAAGCAGCGGGGAGCATGCAGACAAAAGTCAAACAGCTAATCACCAACAAGCATTACATAACAGTAGTAAATATTGCAACTACTCTCATGAGGGAACAAAATCAGCTACCCTCTGTACATAGAAAACATGGCTCACCATGCCTTTGGCACTACAATAAAGCCAAAGGCTTCATCCATGGGAGGTAGCTGCTTGATTGTGTTTTTATTGAGAATGAATTATTTGACCTCATGAAAACAAATATACGGGGCGGCGACTTTCTTAAAATCAATTTGGAAATGCTTTTGATAGTATTTATTGGGACTTCTTGGATCTTATTATGGAATGTATGAGGTTTGGAAGGAAATAGCGTAAATGGGTAATGACTTGTTTCTCTACTGCCAACGTTTCGGTCTTGGTGAATGGCAATCCAACAGGAGAAATCCGGTTAGGTAGAGGCCTACATCAAGGCTGCCCACTCTCTCCCTTGCTCTTCAATCTTGTGGTGGAAGTTTTTAGTGCGCTTATGTATAAAGTAGTCGATGGACAACTGGTCAAAGGAGTGGCTGTTGGTTCTAGGGCTTATGTCTCTTATCTTCAATATGCTGACGATACAGTAATTATTTGTGATCTCCATGTTAATTATTTGTTGAATGCCAAGCATGCTTTAAGATGTTTTCAGGTGGCTTTGAGGACTGAAGATCAATTTCCAAAAAGGCTCTTTCTATGGGGTCGGTCTTTAGCAACAAATGGTTAATGAATGGGCCAGTTTGATTAAATGCAAAGGGGGCAAATCCCCTACTTCCTATCTTAATCTTCCACTTGGATTTGGGCAACCTTCCATTAGTGTGTGGTAACTGGTGGTGCAGAGGGTGGAATCTGAACTTGCTGCTTCCAAAGCTAGGACTTTATCCATGGGAGGTCGAGTTACACTCCTAAGGTCAGTTTTGTGCAACCTTCTTACCTTCTACATGTCCCTCTTCCAAATGCTGTCTAAGGTACGAACCAGTATTGAGAAAATCTTTAGACGTTTCTTGTGGGGTGGTCCTACCTTGGTTCGTAGACTCCATCATGTTGACTAGGCTTCAATTTGCAATTATCGCGAGTTAGAAGGCTTGGGACTTGTTGCTTTGGGCCTTAAAAATAGAGCACTCTTAAATAAGTGGCTCTAGAGACTCAGTAATGAACCGGAGGGTTTTTGAAAAAATATTGTTGTTGAAAAATCAGGTATCCACAAAAAGACTCTTGTTCTTAAGGTTGGGAATGGTGCCAAGCCCTCAAATATATGGAAAAACATGGTTAAATCTTGGTTAATAGGTGTGATTATGTCAACTTTGTGGTGGAAGGGAATGGGGCGTTCTTTGGAATGTTGATTGGGTTCGAGTACGCTTCTTACGACAAAAATAATCAGATATGGAAAATGGCCTAGTATGCTACTAATTGGGCGATTTGGTGTGTAAGAAATGATGTTACTTTTAGAGGTAAAGAACAAGATGGTAAGCAAGTTATGGAGGTTATTAAAGTTAGAATGGCATGGTGGATTAAGGCCAAATGGCCTGAGCATAACCTGTCCATTAGTGATCTTGCACGATTTCCTTCCGAAGGTATTGTTCCTCAACATCTACAATATCTTAAACGTGACCAAGAATGGTCCAAGCCTTTCGCCGATTGCCTTAAATTTAATACGGACGATGCATTTAGGGGGAATCCGGGGGGACACAAGCATCGGTGGACTTTTAAGGAATGAGTTTGGTAACACTCTTGCTGTCTTTTCTAAAGCTATTGGCTGGGCGGATTCTAATATGGCTGAACTTCTGGCTATTAAAGAGGCTATCTTTTTATTTATTACTTCAAGGTGGAACTCCTCTCCTTCCTTTATTCTGGAATCTGACTCCTCTAATGCTGTCAAGTGGATTCAAAATCCAATGGACATCCCATGGAGACTAAGGCAGATTATTCAAATTGCTAACCTATTGAACAAGGTTGAGAATTGGCAAATCAATCACACTCCAAGGTCTGCCAACGAGGAGGCGGGCAGGTTAGCAAAGGATGGCATTCAAAGGGATTAGAAACTATTTTGGGTGTTAAAAGTCAGTTACCCTCGGCGAACCTCTTGGAAGGGACACCTTGAGCTTTTTGTTAGGGACCTTTTTTTTTTTTAACCTGCTTTGTGTTGCTATTTTTTGCTTTGCTTTGTTCAGTTTTGTGTACATATCTTTGCACGGGTTGCTCTTTTGTCTTTTGTAGGTGTGGGTCTGAATATTGCTCGGTACTTGCTTTTTCTTGGGATTCTTTTTTGCAATCTGTTTTTGCCAGCAGCCATGCTGGTATGTTTTTATGACCGGTGTTGTGTTGGTTTTTCACCTCTTGGGTAGAGTTTTGTAAGTATCTAAGCCTTTCAAAAAATAAATAAATAAATAAAGCCAAAGGCAACCCTCACAAAAGAGGAAAACATAGCTCCCTTCCACTAGAAATGTTGGAAACTCCATTACCAACAAGAATCAAACATGGTGGGTCAGTCAACTCCCATTTTTGCAAAAAAGTCCATAATCAAGTTAGCCTCCTTGTAAATCTGTTTGAAGGTGAAATCTCCAATCTGTCTTTGTAACCTGTCAATTTCAAAGAATACCTTCCATTGAGCTCATGGTATGTCGTCGGATTTAAATATCCATAAAAGATAAATACAAAATCTGACAATATCACTAAAGATTCTCAAACGATTCCATGAAGAAGAAGCAAACAATTGTAATGCATTTTTAATAGCATGTACTTCAGCATGGTTAGACTTAAGCTCTCCTAAAAGACCAAAGAAAAATGCATTACAATACCCTTATTATCTCTAAGAACCTCTACATAACTCGCTGATTCTGGTTGTCCTCTTATTAAACCACCAGCATTAAATTTCAATTCTATCT